CCCCAAAACCCCAAAACCCCAAAACCCCAAAACCCCTTTACAATAAAGAAATATTGAAATATAAGCTTATTTCAAATTCTACATTATCCTGTGACTCTCGTTCTCGCCTAAGTTCTGGCCGCTTGGGGAGATAAGAACAGCTCCATCAAAGATAATAGAGTTTCCGTTACGCCCTGAGGATTGCCTTGGAATCTCTTGAGAGCCAGATGAAGAGTACCTTCAATAACAAGAGATGCAAACCCTGACCTCCGTTGTATAACCATATTGAGGAAGAATAATCTTGTTCATGGATCAAGCCGAGCAAAAACATTTCCCACAGGCTCTTCAATGATGAACCCTGGAAAAGAAGGAAAATTCCTTCTCACAATTTCATCAGAAATAACAGAGCTTGTCTGGGATCCAAGTTGGTGGCTTTGGTGGAAATTTAGTGAGCTCTTTATCAATCTTTGAGAACTTTACTTCTTCATTTTTGTTTCTGTAGTATAAGGTGAGTAGAGCCTGACTCCCATTTCAAAACTTCTCATTCACTTCTTTAAGTTGCAGCTGAGGCTCAAGAGCTACTCCATGTCAGTGAATTTCTAAATTGATTGCCTTGATAAATTCATCGTGGTCTAAGCAACTTTCAGCAATTTCTGTGGGAAAATACTTAAGTTCATTGATCAACCTTTTCGCAAGATATTTGTAAACCCTGAAAATCGAAAGAGTTGACCTTGTTTTCAAAACACTTTGTGTGATCTTTTTAAGTCCTGAGAATGGCTCAGGTAACAAGTTAAACCTGAACACATCTTCCCCGCCTGTGACATTGAACCCACTTGTTTTGAGGAGTTCAATATCAGAATTCTTGAGCTTTTTGCATCCAACAATATTAACATTTTTAAGAGTGATAGCTCCTTCTGTTACAATGTAATAGATACACTCAGATGTGATTCCAGTTCCGCCAAGATTGAGGGTCTCTATAGTGTCACTCTTGTTGTTCAAGTGCTTAATACTGTCATCCTTGACGCTTACACAGCCTAACAAATTGAGAGTTTTGAGGTACTTAAGCTTCTCGAGCTTCATTACTCCAGATCAGTGGATATTTCGGCATTCGTTCAGTGAAAGTAGCTCGATTCCTTCTTTTCTAAGGAAATAAGATGTGGGAATTCTTCTTAATTTTAGAGATGCCCCTAGATGTGGATTCCCAGCATCTGCAACCAAATGATTAGGATCTCCTCCCATCAGAGCTGTTAGAGCATTATCATTAATTTTCTCACAACCATCGAGGTAGAGTTCCTTCAGATTCCCTGTAAAGACATGAGGGGATAGAGCTTTGATGTTCTTCTCATCTAATGACATTCAGAAACTCAGGTCCAGCACTTTGAGCTGGTCAAGTTTAGATAGAAATTTGGGTAAATATTTTCCAATTGGGAAATCTTTCTTCTGATTTACTATTTTACATCTACCCCAAAGTCACCGATGGAAAGAGAGTTCTTTGAAATATGTTCAGCACTGACTGGCTTTGTACAGATCTGCTTTTTCAAGGTAGGTAAAAATATTGAGTAGCAGCTCTTCAGGTAATTGGTCTATCTTTCAGGTATAGCCAAGACAGCTATAAACACTTTTCTTTAATTTTCTCAGACCAGAATTAAATTTAGAGCTCCTAAAGGCCCTTTGAATTTTGATTGTCATTGTGGTTTCAATATTAAAAATTTCAGAAACACTGAAGAATTCGTTAATAGTATCTAAAATTTTGATTTCCTGGTGCTGGTTCTTTTCGTAATTCTGGAATGTTTCTCCTTCATCAGTATCTGAAGAGGAGTCAAGGTCAAGATGGGTGGTCCCAGACACGATCTGCTCCTTCACAGAGTTCATGGAATATTCTATAGGCTCTATTAGTGCACAAAATTCTATAATTTTGATGAAATGGTCAGATAGGCATAAACCCGTGAGTTTGGGTATAACATTTTCAAGCAGAAACTTACTCTTATAAGATTTTACTTTGCACTTCTTGAACATAACATTTTTATGATGATTTCTATCTGAAAATTTGTGGTAAAATTGTAGCAAAGATTGGGAGTACTTCTCTAACTGGCCCTTCCGTTCCTGAATAAATCCCTCGTCTAAGTTCCAGTAATACAGCGATGATCCATGGAAGGCAGGCAGGTTCTTGAAGCAGTCGTGATGGGTAGAATTCTCAGCCTCACTCTTTATCGCCATTATTCTGTCATTTAATTTGGAAAAATCTGAATATCTCTTGTAGATATGATAGCAGGAGAAGTTGGTGTGCACTGTGATTGAATACAACACAAATGGCTCCTTCTCGTCAATCTTTGCATGGTTATTGAATTTCACGGTGAAGAAGTCCGGAAACTCGATTGCACTCTCCATTGTTATTATTAGTATTATTTCAAATGATTAAAACTATAAAGGGGTTTTGGGGTTTTGGGGTTTTGGGGTTTTGGGG